AATAGTCATTAAATGATTGAGATGTAAATTCTCCTGCATTATCAAGTCGGATTTTCTTTATTGAATAATCCGGAAATTGAGCTCTCAAACGTATGATTTGAGCAAGGAGTTTTGCAAATGCAAAATTTCTTGTAGATAAAAGACTAACATGTGACCAACGTGTTGATGCGTCGATCAACACCATAAAATAACGAAATGGTCCACATGCTGGGGCAATTGGCCCACAAATATCTCCTTGAATTCTTTCTAAAAATGCAAGAGATTCAACTCCAATTTTATTTAGAGATGGCCTGACAATCATCTTTCCAAGAGAGCAGGCAACACATAGAAAATCAATTGATCTTGGAATCCTTATATTTTTCAATGGATGTCCAAGTGAATTTTGAATTACTTTGTGCATCATTACACTGCCACGATGACCCAAACGGTCATGCCACAAAATGAATGTTTTCTGATCATCTATTTTTTTATTAGAGATAACATTCACTTCAACGGGACTAATGTGAGTATAATATAGCCCCGAGGAATACGCTGGCATCTTTTCACACAGAATTTTATTGCCAGATTTGGTTGTCGTTAGACACGAGTATTCCTTTTTATTTTCTGTCATGGTATCAATGTGATAACCATTTTGACGCATATCCTTAAAGCTCAATAAATTTCTTCGGGATTTGCTGGAATATAATGCGTCTTTGATAATTAATTTTGTTCCTTGGGGAAGGATTATACACGCCATTCCAGACCCTTCAATGAGCTTTGCAACACCAGATATTGTATTGACATTAGTTTCCATCAATGTCATTTGAGAAAAATATTCTTTGTTTCTCAAAATGGTGTGCGTTGTGGCACTGTCAATTAGACATTGTTCTTTGCCACCGGAGCCATAAACAGTTATCTCCATATCTTGAATACAAATAAATATATAAATAAATATAAGTTAAAGATAATTAACACAAATACCATACATTTTATTATCATTATTTTTTTTAGAAGAGACATAATAATACAAGCACACATGAAAATAAAATACAAATTTCCAACATTTATTTAAAAATTAAACACACCATAACAGAGTAAATGAAAATGTTTAAATAGTAGTAGTTCCACCAAATGTCACTTCATCACCAATTTCAGCATCATCCATGTAGAAATCGGACACGTCAAATTTAGGCAAAATTGGATTGATATCATCAGCGTAATTAGCTTCCACATTTTTCCCTTTTCCTTTTGTGGAAGCCTGGTATAATTTAACCAAATGTTTTGCCGTTCGATATTCATTCGCCCAGTGTCCTTCTATGCCACATTTGTAGCATTCACCACTTGGTTTTGGCTTTTCATAAGTTTTAGCCTGTGGTGGTTTGAATTTTCCCTTTTCTTTGGAGGATGATCCATTTGGATTTTTATAGCCCCTGTTCGGCCCTTTGTTGCGGTTATTTCCGCGTCCACGTTTAAAGTGTCTGCGAGCACCACCTTGGATAACATTTGATTCTGGTGCTGAACTACGATCAGGATGGCCAAAATTTGTAGGGCTACAACCGGTGGGCCTCATGTTATGATTTTTCATTAAGAGCTCATTATTCTGCTCAGCAACAAGTAATACTGAGATTAACTCAGAATACTTTTTAAAGCCCCTTTCTCTGTATTGTTGCTGTAATATCACATTTGACATATGCATGGTGGAAAAAGTTTTCTCCAACATGTCATGGTCAGTGATATTATGTCCACATAATTTTAATGTGGACGTGACTTTAAAAATAGCAGAATTATAGT